ACCAAACTTCGGGAGGGTGTTCCTTATGTTAAAGTATGCCGATATAACCTAAAACACCTATGTCCAAAGTTGAACGGTTACGGAGATGATGGCCTNCTTCATGTCACTCACAAGTTAGTTTGATGTTACGTACATTATTAACATAACAAAATCCACATATTTCTGCCAGTTTTAATATGTATTTTGTAATCAACAAGTGTGCAACGCCGGTCAAAGTTTGCAACTTCTCTGGCCATTATCTCTGTAACCGTTCAACTTTGGACATAGGTGTTTTGGGTTATATCGGCATACTTTAACATAAGGAACACCCTCCCGAAGTTTGGTCCATTCCTCCTGGGACACTCTGTATATACTCTGTTTACTCTCTTTTTGGTTACAACCGAGTACAGTTATTGAAAGTGTCTTCACAGAGTATTGAATATATTGCTCAGGAAGGAAAAGGATTGATTCCACTTCAGCAAGGGGTTCAAATTGGTATCAAACACAGACAGACAAAGTAATACTTATTTACGTGATAGGCATTTTTGATAAGAAGTAGAGAGTTCCAAAATGGCATAGTAATATTTGTTTTGTATGCATTGCTTGTTCTCATCTTAGGTACATGTTCATGTTGAAGCCATTGTAACTTTTATATCCCTGCCTCAATAGAACTGCGTGACCTCTGTAAATCACATAATATGTTGTATAATATTTTGAATTGACTAAACCCTCAGTTTTAGGTGCAGATATTTTTTGAGCACTTTGTTTTCAGACATTTTAATTTATGTTCTTTCCTAGAACTAAGGGACAAGTTTTCATAATCATACAAAACAACTACAAAGGAATATTATTTGTATGTCGTATATGTTTGATCTATAGTACAGTGGATGAGTTATGTATATAGGTATAGGTTTCGTATACTGGATAGTGGATCAGATTGTGACAGTTTTTGAGCTCAATAGTAATAAATACGGGAGCCAGGATAGTGGAGTTAGTATAGTGACTGGCTATGGGCTGGATGGCTGAGGGTTCAGAGTTTGAGTCCCAGTAGAGGCAAGATATTTCTTATCTCCATGTCATCCAGACTGTTTCTGGGGCCCACCCAGCCTTCTGTCCAATGGATACTGGGGTTCTTTCCTCAGAAGTAAAGTGGCTGGGTCGTGAAGCTGATCACTCACCTCAGACTAGTACTGAGGTGAAAAATGCATGGATCTGTACATTAGCTCCCCCTTATGTCTTCATGGTGTATTGCTGAAATATGTAAACACAGGGACAATGCTAATTTCATCATTGGTTTAATTTCTGTTTTTATTGTTGTCCCCAGATAAATTTGAGGCCATTTTTATTATTGTACAGGTATATATAAAAGAGTTAAATTGTTGGAGCCATGTGAAAATTAGACTGCTACCATGTAGGTGCAGTTATATATGTGTTTTCAGTTCAGTTTGTGATTGATATTATAAAAGCTTGTGGATGTACCATCAGGATTCACGGAAATGCAGTTGTCGTACAAGCAGCTCGAGCCTGATAGGTGGAAGTGGAGCAGGATGGGAAGGTACGGCACTTCTCAATCATGGTTCCTACATCAAGTTTGGCTGCCTTCAGTTTGTGTTCAGCATTACGGACTTTGCTTCAGCAGCAGCTGCATCTAGTAACACAAAACATCAGGCTCTTGCAGAATGTGTTGAAACCTGTGCCTCGTTATCATCTGCAGCAAAGCAGATCTCTGATGTTGGTGAGCAGCCCTCATAGCATTTGTTGAGCTTAATGGGGACTCGAGCATGTTTATTCAAGAAACTGTGATGTTGATGTTTCTGTGTATGGACACGTGTGTTGAGGAGTTGCTTTGGATGGAGAGAAGTACCCCCTGTCACAGGGTGGCTATAGAGTATGTACTTTTTTCATATCATATCATAGTGAGTAATTTCAGACAGATTCATATGAAATATTTGTCTTTTGATTATTTTAATGGTGCTTTTGTATTATTTTAGTGTAGTGATATTTGTGCTGGAGACTGAAATTACAGAATGTATTTTCTAAAAATATATAGTAAGCAATTATTATTTTAAAAGAAGTAACAGAACTGTTGGCTTCTCCAGAGGGACTCAGTTTCATGGAGTTAGCTAGCTAGTTAGCAGTAATAGTCACTTTATGGTTTCCTAATGACATGTAAAATTTATAAATACAATTTTTCGTCACATTTTCCCTGACTCAAGTGCAGTTACATGTCATGGTGTACAGTGCGGTAAGAAATATATAAAAATTACTGATTTGAAAACAGTTTCTTTTAACTTGGGATTTCCTGAAGAAATGTGGAAATAGTATTTTCAGAGTGCTGGTTTCATTACTTGGAAATATGTTTCAGATTTCCATTCCAGTATTAGGATTTTATACAAGAAGATCACTGTATGTCTGATGGTTTAATGTGTTGATCCTCTGAGTAATTGTGGTCAAGTCTGGTGCATAGTGTGTTCAGTGTTTGTTATCTGAAACTGCTTTGTATGCATTGGTTAACAGTAGAAAAACTAACCTGCCATAATTTACAAAAATATGAAAATTTGAAAATAGTAGGGGGTAGTGGGATTGTGCTATGCCTGAAGCATCTAGATCTTGCTTCCTGCTTTTGAAGCAGTTCCAGGGTAGTCAATATATGATTTATGGCTGATAAAGTAGCACTTAGAATATTTCAGTTTTCCACCACCAGCAGTTATTACATCAGTTGTCTACTCATCTTGAGGTGTGCAGTAGGCCTGACTGGCCAGTATTACAACCTTAGTCTGCTGTCTGATACGTCATTTGGTTGGATTCTCTGAGTTAAAATGTTAAAGAACATAACTGGATGTGTTTGCTTTTTGTCAGTACAACCCATATAGTTGGTTTTGAACGAAAAATTGTAACCTGAGTTAATTTTTTATTATGATAGTATAATTCAGTCATGTATGAATCTTAAGAAAGTGTTCAAGAAAGTGTTTGGGTATAAACTTGAAGCATTCCTGGCATGAAGGTTATAATTTTGGAAAATTACACGTGTGTTGAATTAGGTTATAGTCATGAGTATTTGAAGGTTAAGATATATTCCTCTTGTATAAATTCTCATTACTTCTTAGCAAAATATAGATTTGGTATCATAACAAATCATATATTAGGCAGTTTGGTTACATGTTTTTAATTGAGCTGTTTTATGCCATATGCAGGTATTACAGGTATTTCCAAGTGCAGTTATAATATCCAGAAAGAACTTGATGTTTTAGACTTAATTTTATATTACATATTAGGAAAATGTGTTTGAAAATAGTAGATTCCATAATTATTTCGTGTGATTTAATATTTATTATAACAAATTGAAATACAAATTCCAAATAAATACTCATACATCTTATGGTGTCCTGTAAGAATTGGCAGCAATTTCAGAGAGAGGCACATGAGAAGCTGTCATACTTTCCCTGTGCTTAAACAATTAAGTGCTTTGCCATTTTCTTACCATGCACATTATAGTTTTATGCATTTGTATTTTTTCGTAAGTGAAATTCCCAATCAGAAATTGTTACATTAGCTGGACTTCTGATGCATTCTTTGCACAGAGTGCCTAGTGTGAGGGTTATGCAAATTTTCAAGATTCTTAAGTTATTTGCCTTGACTGGCTTTAAGTTCCAGGTCCTTCATAAAATTTGCTCCCACTTTCTTACCCTTGTTCAGATTATAAACAGTGAAGAACCAATGAAGCCAAGATTTATAATTTGTTCATTATGTCTCTCCTGTTTCTCTGTTAACATGTATGATGATGGAGCCATAGATACTAGTGTAACCATGTGCACTGGATGATTTATACTATTTTTTGTCATTTTGCACAGGTCAGAAAAGGATTCTGAATGAAGACAGGGGAAATAAATGAAAAAAGATTCTGTTATAGGGCAATATCAGCTATATTAACCTTTAACGAAGAATGTTTTATATATATATATATATATATATATCAGCAAGTAACACCCCGCTCTGGCCAAGGCATGACACTGCTCATTTTGGGAGTGCTGACAGTTTGATCTTGGGTTTGAAATCAATACAAACCCACACAAGGTCATGTCAGTGGTTCCTCAGTGGTTCATTCCTTAGCTATGAACAATGAAATCGTCTGTCAAGGTTGATAGTATTTACGTTTAGATATGACTGTTTATGACCTAGTCAGCCAAATAGAGCCCAGTTTTATTTTGAGAACTGAGGAGTAAATATGCATCTATGCTTGCAGATTAGTGCTTCTAGGGCTTTCAAGGATTGGTTTTCAGTAGGGCATTATCAGCTAGGAAGTCAGTGTCGGACTGTCATATATTTCTTTGTATATCATTTTTATTTTGTGACTCGGAAGAGGTATAAACCCACTGAGCCAGTATTACTTTGTAAATAAAAGGCATCTTTGTCACTGTGACTTTTGGTATCAGTGTCGGACTGGCACTCATTTCGACTAGTATTATAATTACTTTGCATCATTACGAGTATTTTGTGAGTAATACTAAGAGTGTTGCTTTGTCAGTCAACATAATTTATTCGATTTAGCTGGAAACCCTCCTCCCCCAAGACATCTTCAAGTGCACGAGGCGAATATCATGGTCAGTGGCATTTCTTGGGGGAGGCAAAGTTCATCTGGGGCCCAACTGAGTCGACTGGAGGTCACACATTCACAGCACTGGCCAACCAAAGGGAAACAAAGATGTCGTGTGTATTCGCTAAATAAGAAAAGCAGGAGCATGCTCTTCTATTGTAAAAAGTGTGATGTTGCGCTGTGTGTCATGGACTGCTTTGAGAAGTGGCACATGTGCGTCAAGAGTGTGAGGTATCATAAACTGTGAAGTGACGCAGTTCAAACTCATACAGTCTGAACAAAATATTATTGTCTATAGTGTGAATATATACAAAATCACCATGTCTCAAGGTTGAAGAAAAAACTNATTTTATTGTCTTTCAGGTTGTTTTTAGTTCGTATTTCTATTTTGAATAGAACGGAAAATATGTATTTTTTTCTGAAAGTCTGCAATGTTAACCTTTAAGTGCCGAAGTGCCCCGTTGGGGCCAGTGATGAGTATGGTTGTCGTGGCCAAAGTACCCCGTTTTGGCCAGTCGGGCATTTAAACTCCGATAGTGGAAGCGCGTGCACACGGCACTAGTAGAAGTGAATGCACAGTCCTTAATATTTATTTTTAAATGTAGTGATTACCAGACAGACTTTAGTAAAGCCCTAATAGAGGAATTAAAATGATACCTAAGTGAACAACAGCAAAAAAAATATATGTATGAGTTATGCCCAAACTCATCCATGAGCCAGTACTTTTATTGCAGATTCTGCAGATTAACGTGTTAAAAATATATAGTAAAATTGGATATACATACCTTTTTTGTTGTTACCTGCTTGATGTATATATAGGCTGAAATGAAACTACAGTATTCGATTTCACTACGAACGCACAGAAAACAGATCACACTCTGTAACTCAGCCACGATGCAACTGTCTGTTCACGACCCTAGAAAGGGCAGTAATCTCTTGCAGCTATAACTGAAGGTTTTAGCACTGAAAAAGGGACCTCTCTAGCTTTCTCTTGAATAGCAGTCTTTCTTCTTCTGTCCTTCAGTCAAAAGATTCGAAAATCCAAAGAGTGTAAGTAGTGCTAGCAGAAGACCAAATGATTTTATTGCTTCCATCTGTTTTATGACATCAGGGACTGCTAAAATTTGTTAAGTGTTACAAACAGAAATGAATTTATAATGCAGAACAACTCTGTGAAGAACTGGGAAACCAATTTTACAGTACGCATCAAAATTAAAAGAAGAAACTTGAAAATAGGGTATAACACTTTGTATAAAAATTTCAAATCTTCCGTTATAATATGCGACACTATGTTCTTTGCTGATACAAGTAAGTTAATTACATCCATTTATCATAAAAATTGAGTTAGATACAGCATTTTTAAACACAATGCTTAAAATTGTTTAAGCGCTCTAACAGGAACGGACATTTAAACGTGCACTAGCAGCAGGCATTTAAATAGACTCTGGCCAGCTGAAGCTTACCACTATTTCAGAAGTCTGGCGTTTGAAGGTTAAAGACTTAGGGCCATTTAAATTCTGGCCGCAGAGGGCTGCTGGCTGTTTAAAAGTCCATACGTTAAAGGTTAATGAAAATATTGGACGTACGGATATTATTATTAAGTTGTAAAATAAATCACTGAATCACTACAAATTTGCGTGAATAGAAGCAAACAAAATTGAACAAGAAGTTCTGGGAAGAACTGATCGCCTACTTTCCTTCATACGACATGGACCGCATAGAAAACAGTGCGTCCAACAATTCTTCTATTATGTTTGTATTCCTTGCCATGGTAACATTTTTACCGAGCCATTGCTTAGCAATGATAGGGATAGGAGATATGCATACAGACTGCTGGGAGGGATTTATGAAGTACTGAGATGGCCTCAGGTACCACGATATATATTCCAGGTTTCATAAAGATTGGTTCTGGCATTCAAAAGTTAATAAGGGAGAGATTGCATAAACATACTTAGGAAAGTAGGCTAAAAACAGTTCTTTACATTATTATGCACACAAATAATACATTTTCTGGTTCAGTAAGATATTTCCTAAAGGTACAATAAAGATATGCAACACATGTGAGTCACATTTCATAATGCATCACTCTGAATATTTTGAAGCAAAGGGTGATACAGTCCACTATTGTTAATTGATGTACTTGTGCCCCCCCCCCCCAAACAAAAACTAGGTAAAGACAAAATAAATGGAAAAAGATTTTTGAATGGGGCATTACCAACTGTGTTTGTGTAAATTGTAGACAGGAATATTACTGTAGTATAAAATAGTTCACTGATGAACTAAAAATTAGTTATATATACAAAAATGCAGAACAGGTCTTTACATTACTGTGCATACAAATATTACAGTTTCTGGTACAGTAAGGGACCTCAGCCTAAGTAGTGGATATATACAAGTCTTTTCATAGTGCGTCGCTGTGGTGAAATATTTTCAACAAGGTGTAATGCATAGTTCATTGTCACAATTGGTTACTGGTAGGCTGTCCTCCCTACCTGCCTTGAGCTCCATAATACTACAGTGGCCCAATCCCATATGCACTGATCTTACGGTGGCTGTTGTTAATGCCTGTGTGGTATGATTATACTTTCTGATTTAATTCCATTAACACACATTTCTGAGACTTTTTTTTAACTGTAGCTCACTTCAAATAAATGGTTTGTGCAGTTGATAGGGAAGATAAGTTCATGGTGGTACAAATATCTTTCGAGTGTTCAGCATTTTACTCTGTGATATACGTAGTTTATGCGAGAGAGTGATGTGATGCTGAAGAAAATGGATGTTGAGATTTTGGTGGAGATACACAATCTGAGCACCCCTGAATATGAAAACGTAGTATGCATGAGAAATTATTGTAATGATGAACAAATTGGTCTTGAGATTTTGTCAGAATTACATGTTTTTACCACATATGAGTATAGCGATTTTTTAATGCCCCCTGTGGGTCATGTGGTAACATGGTTGAAGGACTGTGCTGCAAGCTGAGAGGTAGCAGGTTTGGTGCCTGAAGCAAGTTATTAGAATTTGCAGTTGACTTAATCCTTCCCACTGCACCATGGGCATGGGGTCAACTCTGCCTGTAACCGAAATAAGTACAAGGAATTGTCTTGGGGGTAAAGGGCAGCTGGTGCATAAGACTGACAACATCACCGCCATCTGTGAGTCAGTTGTCTAGAAAATGGGAAGCCTCAGTATCTCACAACCCTATGGGCTTCCAAGGCCTGTTACAGGGATATCTTTATCTTTTTATTTTTATTGACGTGCCTATCACTAGCACCTGAATAGTTGGATGGATTTTATGTATATTCGACATTTAAATGCTATCCATCCCAGTTAATATGACCATCATGGCTCCAAAATTAGGTGCCCTTCAGATAGGTCACAAAAAGGAAAATTATGATTTTCTTAAAAATGGCTTCAATAATATATTGAAACCATCACTGTAAATAAAACTGAATTAGTTGTGTCCTCAGGAAAATGATGGTATGCACACTAGGGACCCAAACAATTGTGTAACTTATTCATGTCTTTTGTAATGAGCAACCAGTGATGGCCTACCTAACAGTTGATTTTGTTTCAAAGGTAATGCAGTCAAGGTCAGTCACACAAGAAAGTATGTGTAGTGTCTTTGCACTGATTTGTCAAGTGTTGCTGTTGTGTCTAGTTTTCATGCCAAGATAAGTGACTTCATTACTTTCTTGGTTTCTCAAATGCTGAAATATCTTGCAACGTATTTTGGATCCATGGTGCACAAAATGAAGAGTTAATATAAAAGAATCACAGTTGAGATCATGAGAGGAAGGTGATGCAAACACAAAGAACAATTCTGCTGAACTGAAGAGCATTCTGGTAAGCCTTGATGTCATTCACACACATGACAATGTAATTGCTAGCTAGCCTTGCAGAAGCAAAAGTTTAACTTGTTAATGAAAGAACTGGTATATAAATACACACCTCATGTGACTGAAAATTTGTAAAGTACTTGAGTATACTGATTATTGAATATATCAAAATTTGTAATTTTATATTTCTGAATATAAGACAGATCACTTGCATATATATGGTATATGTTGTGATATAATTGTACTTCTCTTTCATGTTTAGATGAAACTGTTGGAACATTTGCCTTGTGAGTACTTATGCTTACTAAGTATTTTTATGATTTGATCATTTCCTTCAGACATGCTGAGTGAGTGTCAAGAATAGCCCAGAATTTCTTCAATATCTTTTGTAATTCATAATTCATATTCATCATTATTGTATGCTGCTATATAATTTGTGCAGTTGGTAAAGCGTTGCTAAATAGGTAAGCCATGAAGCATATAGACAACTTCTGAATAGTCAAATCTAGGACTTGCAGCTTAATTCGTTCCTGAAGGTAATTTTTTTTTACCATGGGTCATTACAATTCAAGACACCAGAGGATTACAACATAAGCAGGCAAGAGTTATGATGCAAGCTACCAGTACATTACAAACTGTATGAAAAGTTAAATTAAAAAATTAACATTTTATCGAACTCTGACATATCCAGCACCTCACTGAATTTGGATGGGAGAGCTCTGGTTGTGGGTGTTTTTGAAGGGGACTGTACTTGGCAGAGGACGCTGGAAAAGTGGTTGCTGAGAACTTTATGAAGAAGTTGTTTAAGGTCCAAAATTTTAGTCTTAAGTATGAAAATTTTTTACATAAGTCTAATGGGTGTTAATGAGATTGTAGGTCAGAAATCTAAATTGCGAAGTCACAGGTCAAGATATGACTGTACAGTGAATATTATGGTTATAACAGTCATATTTAAAGGTGTTTCCAATAGTGTTAGGTATTGACATTATTATGTAAGAGTCTTTATGATAAAATAGAGGAAATAATGTGGCAAGTTAGTGGTACAGTAATAACAAAACAATGTCTGTTGCAACCACGGGCCACACTAACTACCCATAGAACAGTCTCTATGACTGACTGCTAGGTACTCCTGTGCTGAAGAAATTTCTCACCTATGGAATCTGAGGGTTCATTACTGTGTTCACAAGAATCTACCACTGGTGCCTATTCTGAGCCAAATGAATCCAGTCTACAC